GGCCGCCAGCCTGGCACCCTGGCGCTCGGCCGGGTGTCCCCGGGCAGCTGGCACAGCCTGAGCTCCCGCAGGAGCTGGGGTCGTGCTGCCAGCCTGCTCACCAGAGGGCTGCTGGAAGTCACCCAGAGCAGGGGTGGGAAGCAGTGGCTTCTGGAGCGTTTGCCTTGACCTCCCCCTGGTGCAGGAGCTGGTCCCTGCTCCCCACCGCTGCAGCAGCTCTGCCCAGGGCCAGGCAGTGCCTCAGAACCCCTCCTCCTGCAGCACGTGCTGTGCCCTGCCAGGGGGTGCTTTGAACACACGGCTGGTGTCCATCTGCTGCAAAAAACACGCTCCTGGTGCTTGCCCTTTGCCACCCACATGGGTGGGGATGATGTGAGTGATGCCACCATTGAGCCACCCCCCACGAGGTTGCTGCCCCCCTCTCCCATCTCACCACGACCTGAATGGCAGCCCATGCTGTGGAACAGGGTGTGCAGCTTGAAGCACATCCTCAGGAAAGCCAGGGAACATGGCTGGAGAAAGCCATGGAGAAAAGGAGCCTCAGGGGAGACCTCCTCACTCTCTACAACTCCAAGAAAGGAGATTGGAGCCAGGTGGGGGTCACGCTCTTCTCCCAAGAAACAAGTGATAGGACAAGAGGAAATGGACTCAAGTTGTACCAGTGAGGTTTAGGTTGGACATTAGGAAAAATGTCTTCCCCAGAAGGGTTGTCAGGGCCTGGCCCAGGCTGCCCAGGGCAGTGGTGGAATTCCCATCACAGGAGGGATTTAAAAGCCCTAGAGATGTGCCTATTGGGCCAGAAATCTGCCTGGGTGATGGTAACCTTGGTCGTGGAGGTCTCCTTTGTAGTCCACAGAGACATAGCAGCACTGCTTCTTCAGGTGGACCCCTGTCTTCTTCAGCACATCGGGGTGCTTGGGGCTGTCCATCAGGCCTTGCCCTGAGCTGTTGGTGGCCTTCCTCCAGGTCTGGCCCAGTGGACAGAGGTGGCATGGGACACTCCTGCCCCAGCCTGCATGACTAGACTGGTGACTGCTGTAGAGGGAGAGGAACCCAGTGTTAGCCCTGTGCAGAGCTGGCACCCCAAGCTCTCAAAAAGTGCCTCCTGCCACCTTCTGCCTGTCGGTAGAGGGGCGAGATGGGGAGTTGGCCATGAGCATCAGAGTTCCTCTGGAAGGGCTTTCAGGCCACAGAAGAGGTGGCCCCACATGTTTTCTGTGCTGTCCTGGTCCTCAAGGGTGCTGTGCACTGCAGGGGTGCAGCAATGTGGGGCAGACCAGGCACCTGCTCTGCAGGGAAGACTCTGACTCAGTGGAGGACTCTGGAAGTGTCTGTCTCTGGCTACGTGCCTTAGCCTTTCCTCCTGCCTCCCTGCCTCGCTGAGCATCCCTCCTTCTCTCCCTTCCTGGGGCCTGGAGTTTTTCCCCAGTGCTTGGGAAAGCACAAGGACAAGACTCCAGGTGTTTTTAAGGAAGCAAGTGAAACTGGACAGGGAAGTGGAGTGGCTGGACCAGGCTGCAGGGAATGGTGCTGTCAGCAGAACCCAGGGCATGTGTGAAGGAGCCATGCTCTGGGCTGAGGCTTCTCACTGCACCCAGGTTTTTGCCCAAGGGTATCTGTGGCCACAGTTGGCAAAGGGAGGAAGTAGTTTGGGGTGTCTGTGTGTGTCAAAGCACTTCTGTGGCTCTCTCTGTGGTTCTCAGATAGGCTCCTAGGGCATGGCATACATCCTGACCCAATGTTCGGGTGCCCTCTGGGCCACCCTTCTTGCCAGGGTGGACAGAGGCCCCTTTCATTCCCCCAACTGCTTCTTGTACGTTCCCCTGGACCCCTTTTACTTGTCCCCAGCACTGTGACCCCTTCCAGAGGCAGCTCTGCTCCCCGGGCACGGTGAGAGGCATCTGACAGGTCCTGTCCCCTTCCCTGCAGAGGTACGAGACCTCCTCGAAGATGGAGCAGTTCCTGACGCGGTTCCTGCTGCGGGAGACCATGCAGCAGCTGCAGTCCCTGCAGAGCTCGCTGGAGTGCGCCGCGGACACGGTGGAGGAGCAGGCGGGGCGGGAGAGGTGAGGGCTGGGGCTGCCCGGGGCGGGCTGGGGCTGCCTGGAGCTGCCTGCTCCCCTCCTCCCAGCACTGCCGGGGGGGTTGCAGCACGGGGCAGGCCTCATGGGCCTCCCTGTGAGCAGGACCTGCCCTTTCCACGCCTGCTGTGAAGCTGGCCCCTGTCCTGAGTGACTTCAAGCCCTCCTTTTGCGTTTGTTCTTTCAGAAAGGAGGTGAAGAGCTCTGAGAGCTCTGTCAGCCCCAGGCCGGGGAGGCGATGCGGGCGCAGAGGACAGAGGAAGGTGTGTCTGTCCCCAACAGACCCCTACTCCGGGATGCTGACGACAGGTACCTGCAGCCTGGCTGTCCGTGGGGTGGGTGTCTGCCTCCCTCCAGAGCCTGGAGTGGGTCTGGGAGCAGCAAGACGGAGCCTGGACCTTCACAGCCAGATGCCAGCTGGAACTCCTGTGGGATGCTGGTTCTCTCGAGCAGTGGGAAAAGTTTCAGGAGGAAAACAAAATGGTCTTTGTGTTTAAATCAGACATTTAGAAGCTTTTGCAGTTTTCTGGGTCTTGAGCAAGCTTTTTGGGTAACATCTCTGCCCTTCCCTGTGCAGGTGTTTGTGTTGAAGACAACAGCCAGTGGATGGCACAGATCAACAGGCTCCAGCAGCTTATTGAGAAGCTGGAGTACAAGGTGCATGGCAGAGGGGAGGGCTGGGGGTTGTCCTGTGCCTTGGCACCAGCTGGGGCACTGCCAGGGCCTCTCCCTGTGCCAGCAGCCCTGGTGCTCAGTCCTGGCACTGTTACAGAGCTCCATCCATCCACCAGACCCAGACTCCCAAAGCTGCCCATCCCTTGCTGTCTTCAAAGCCCCACTTCTCCCACCAGCTCTGCTGACCCCCCCTGGCATCTCCATGGTCTGTGCTGACCTGCCAAGCCAGTCTGAACTCACTGAGCCCCAGAGATGTGCAGGTCCCATCCCTGTTCTCCCCCAGGCACCCAGAGGAACGTCCCCAGAGCGTTCCCATCTGTCACACTTGAGCTGGGCTGGGCTGTGGGTCACTGCCACGTTTTCTCTTCTTGCAAAGCTCTCCCAGTAACGATGGTTTTTCCTGTGGTGACAAATGCAGAGCCCACGCCTGGAGCCACTGAAGGAGGAAGTGATGTGCAAAGGGACAGACACAGTAAGTCCCTTTCCTGCTGTTTGCAGGTAACCCACAGTGTGCACATGTCCCCTCGCACACACACGTGTTCACACAGCCCCTCTGCCCCAGCATGGAGTCTCCTGGGCAGCTCCTGGCTTTGGTCTGGCGAGGGGTCTGATCCCTCCTGGTGTAGCAGAGTGGAATTCAGAGCTGCAAGCTGGGGCTGGGACCATCCACAGGACAAACACAGGTCCATTGGGTCCATGAAAGTCCCAGACAGGGCCCGCAGCCAGCCCAGAGGAAGGCAGCACCTCGCTTGTGAGTGCCCAAATCCCCCAGGTTTGCTCCGAGCACCCACAGGCCATGGAGAGCCCCAGTGGAGGGGTCCCAACATCCCTTTCTGCTGGGGGAAGGACACAGGGAACTGCAGCAGCCCCAAAAAGGACAGAGTCTCTCCTGTTGGTGTGGTCCTTGTAAAAGCCACCTGCCCAGGTAGGAAGAAGCCCCTTTATGTTGGCATGGTGCCAGCTCTGTGGTGCCAGCTCTGTGGCCTTGCAGCTTGCCTTGAGGTGCCGGGGCTGCCCAGCAGGGTGGGAGCAGGGGGACAGGAGGGGAGGACCGAGTCCCTGGTGCTGCCTGTCCCCTGTCCCTTCACAGCACATCCTGGTGGCGAAGAGGCAGATCTCAGTGGCCGTGGGCAGCCTGGAGGAGTTCCACCAGGCCTTCAGGTCCTACACGGAGGGGACGGCTGGGCAGAGCTTGCCTTGAGGTGCCGGGGCTGCCCAGCAGGGTGGGAGCAGGGGGACAGGAGGGGAGGACCGAGTCCCTGGTGCTGCCTGTCCCCTGTCCCTTCACAGCACATCCTGGTGGCGAAGAGGCAGATCTCAGTGGCCGTGGGCAGCCTGGAGGAGTTCCACCAGGCCTTCAGGTCCTACACGGAGGGGACGGCTGGGCAGAGCAGCTGCCTGCAGTGAGTGTGCCGGGTGTGGGGCGCGGCGGTGGCTCCCCCAGGGGGCTGGGAACGGGGCCCCTGTGGTGGGCAGAAGGGGCTTTCGTGGAGTGCTCTGTGTGCTGGTGGGTTTGATACACAGGGGTTGGACCTTGCAGAGGGGCTGAGAGTGTCCCGGCAGTGCCTGGCAAGGAGGGGGTGGTTGTTATGCCAGCAGGAAGGGCTGGGGCAGGTGTATGTAAGGGAATGTGCCAAGTCCTCCAGCACCAAGGGGCTGGAAAGCACTGGGGGCAGAGCTCTGTGTCAGAGCATGGCTCTGTGGGGAGTGTGGGAGCAGCCGTGACCGCCTGAGGGTAACCCTGCTGTGAGACCAGGGCTCTGCTCTGGAGCTCTGAGCAGAGCTGAGGATGGAGCCTGGGTCTAACTCAGTGCCCAGCTGCCCCTGGAGAGGTGGTTCTGTTCTCCCACGGGAGATTTCAGGATGCTCTGAGCGGGAAGTGTTTCTGCTGTTCCCATCTGAAGTGCCCTTTTCCAGCTCTTCCTAGGGAACGATGGGCTTTCCTGGCAGGAGAGCAGTTGGACAACAGGGTGCTGCTGCTGTCCCAGTTCTGCCAGGGAGCTGCAGTGGAGCTGGGGCTCACTTTGCTCTGCCCCAGGGCTCGTTTTGCTCTGCCCCAGGGCTCGTTTTACTCTGGCCCTTCCTGCGGCCCTGACCAGCAGCTGGAGGAAATGTTTGTCCTCAGCTGGAATTGGCAACGCTGGTTCCCCAGGCCCTGCACCCTGAGCTGTGTTCTCTTGCCTCCCTGCTGCTTCCCCCTCCGTCCTCCCCTGGGCTGGAGGAAGCCCCAGCCAGTTCCTCTGGCAGGAGGGAGCGTGGGAAGCATCACCTGGCCAAGCAGAGGCGTGCTGGGGGGGCAGCAAGCCTGTGAACTCAGCTCCTTGCCCTTGTGCCTCAGTTTCTCTCCGTGTGAAGGGTGTGGGATGACACACCCCCACTCCAAGGGGCTGGGAGCCTGAGCTCCGTGTTGGGCTGTGCTGCAGCACTAGAGGTGTGCTGAGAACTGTTCAATAGAACACTTGACACGCTGGTTTCTGGGCAGAAGTAAGGAGCTGTTTAATGGCTGCAGAGCTCCTCTGCTGCCTGGCTGCAGGAGCTGTGATGAGCCCCAGCTCAGTGTCACCCCTGTCCCCACAGCGTGGCCACCTGCAAGCTGACAGATGAGCCCTGCTTCATCCTCTACGAGTTCTGGCAGGACGCGACTTCGTGGAGGAGGTTGGAGGCTTCCCTGGCACAGGGCTGGGGCTGAGTGCCCTGGGGGGGCTCTGGGGGCTGGAAGGGATTTCCCTGGGGGGCTCCACCACAACCCCACGGCTCCCCTTCCTCATGCAGCCTGTCCTGCTTGGCCCAGCGTGCCCCCAGGGCCTCTGGCAGAGGAAGGGGGTGAACATCCCCTTAAAGGATTTGGGGAACGGGGCAGGAGTTGGTGTCCTACTCTGGGGGCAAACAACTGCTCTGCAGCCATGGGACACGCACAAGGCCTGCACCCCCTGAGCCTGCACCCCCTGAGCCTGCACCCTGTTTTCCAGCCACTTGCAGTCCAGCTGCAGCAAGGCTTTCCAGCGGTCCATCATCAGCCTGCTGGAGTCCCCAGAGCTGCTCACCACCATGCTCTTCCCAGGTGAGGGGGGCTGTGGGGCTGGCTT